GAAGTTCCGCTTATCTGACTCCCTCCCCCCTCTGCTGCCACATTTGGCACCTTTTTTGGGGGGAACAGGTACCTGATTTTAACAGGTACCTGCTACGACTGCCTGAGTTGAAAGTTGCCCCCCCAACTTTCTGGGACACTTCACAGGTCTCAGAGGACTGTGTCCCATTCCCAAAGTGCAGTGCGCTTCGCGCACATGCAGTAGGAGATCGGCTGTGCAGGTGCAAGGCTTCACTGCCATTTTCCCATAGTCAGGATGGCGGCTCAAGCACCTGACAGCCAATTGTGAAAAATTGGCTTGGAGTGAGGACACTGCTTGATCTCTGGACAGGTAAATGCCCTAATATTAAAAGTCAACAGTTACAGTATTTGTAGCTGCTGAATTTAAATTTGTTTTGGTGGGGGGGGGGGGGGCAGGAGCCAGCCAGAACTCTGCTTTATACATATAAACTTTAATTCTGCTCAAATCTACTGCTACCTACTCAATTTTTTTTTTCTCTCCCCCCCCCCCCCTCTCTCTCTCTCATCTGTAGATGCTAGCACTTTCATTCATCGCGTCAGTATGCTGGCTATAATTTTCTAGAGGCAATTGATACTAGAGGTCCAATTTTCTCTTACCAGACAGGCAGTCCTTTGGACTGCTATACCAATTCCTGACCTGCTAGCATGGACCACATGTAGTGACAGGTCATGTTCCACCAGTTGTAGACTTACCAAATTATAGGAAACACTGTGCCTTTTTCATATTCAATGTTGGCTCTGGAGTATATCCATCTACTCACTCACTCATTTTCACAGAGGAGTATCACTTGCTGTGTTTCAGATATGATAACTGAAATTGCTGGTGCGTGGCATTTGTAGTCTTTTTTTTTTTTTTGTTTTTCTTCCTCATGAAATAGTGTGATATAAATCTGGATTAAATTACTAAAGCTGTCCTCTTCTGTATCCATTTTATTGGTGGCAGGACAAACTACATGTTTTGAAATAATTAAGGTGATTATGTTAGAGCTGTTTTTCTAATCTGTGACTCTTCTTTCAGACTCCCTGTTGGTATTTAAAATATGTTCTCAATACATATACAATTTCTTAATAATTACATATTATTAATTATCAAGTTCCCTGATGAAACGTGTAAACACTAGTACAGTACTATACTGAATGATTACAAGAGCCAGAATCATTGTTCTTTGCAGTCATTTTATTTAAAACAAAAAAATGACATCTGTGCCAGATGATAAAAGTAATCTGCAAATTACTGAAAGTCGGCTGAATTCTTGCATCACTTATCTCAGCTGTACATATTTAGATAAAGGGATTTATAATTGGCCTACATGTTAACCTCAAAACCTAACAGCAGTCATGCTATATTCTCATATCTTTATGCACTCACTGACTGGCATCATTTTAGGCTTTAGGACTTCTTTAGGACCAATGTTGGAGGGCAAATGCGGATTATTTTACCATTAGTTTGAGACACTTGTGTCCAGGGATGAGCTCAGGTGAGTGCAGACATGAATGATTGGCTGTCCACTTTGAAAGCTTCCTGGTGGGATAGCTCAGGGCTCATCTCCTTACACACTTGAGCTCATTCTTCATTGAGGTAATTTAGAATCAACAGCAGGTAAACCTGCTGCTTTTGCATTCCCATAGACTTCTATGAGGTCCTAAGCCCTGTTTTACATGGGATGGAATCTACTTTGCTCAGTAGGGGATCTGTCCACTGATCCCCTGCTGAGTAGAGAAGAGCAGGCAGATGACAGGTCCATGTCAGCTCAGTATATGTAGAGCAAACATGGGCATAGCCCACTCTACTCTAAATGTGCAGCTGGGACTAAAACGGATTGGCTGTCTATTTACCCCAGTCTGCCCTCTAATTCACCTAGACCAAGGGGGTGGATCCCCTTCAGTTTTTTTTTTTTTTTGTAGCGGATTGGATTGGAGGTAGGCGGGTGTAAACAGACACAAGTCCATTTACACCCGCTGGTCCATAGGGCTACATCTGATCAGATCTGCCTGATAAACTGACAGGCAGACCTGATCTAATGGCCTTTGTGAATAGGGGCTTTGGTCTCCCTGGCCCTGTGTGCATTTACACTTTGTTACATGTAGGGTAATAGTATGGTTCATTGAATGCTGTGAATCCTGTATACAGCATGAGAGCCAGTATTACATGGTTCTAGAAACTCTAGCACTACTTCATGCACCTCAAATACAATGCACGCAGAGTAATGGGAAGCTTCAACGAAAAAATGGACAAAAGAAACACATATATACAACCCCTTTATAGCTTTTCCCTATTTCTACATGCTTAGACTTTAGTGTGATTGTGGACCTTATTTACTATAAAGAATACACTTTTTGTCTGTGGGGAATTTCCTTGTAACAAAGCCTTTTTTTACTTTAAAAAGATCCAAACGACAATGTCTTTTTAGCAAAGACAATATATGTGGATAGTGTGGAAACACAATATGTAAAGCAGAATCAGGAGTACAATAATGATTTCCTCACTGCTGGACATCAGCAATTCCAGTATGTATACTAAAATGGACTTTAGACCAGCAGCAGCATTCCACCTGCTTCAACCCAGCCAGAGACCTGCAATTTTCCATTGTAAATAAACTAATAGGTTGCACATGCGCAGTGAGAGAGGTGCCCTCATACAGGCACTTACTGTACTTTCCTTCTTTGTATATCCCTATGAAGCTAAAATAGTAACCAGAAATTTGTTTTGTTTGTTGTTTGTTTTTTTTTTTTATCAGAAAGCTGTCCCATTATCTCTGTTATATACTGTGAGTTTTTTCTGCTTTCTGTATCTTTCTTTTGTACCAGTGGTCTCCAAACTTTTTTAGTAAAAGGATCACATTATATATATTACAAATTTTCATGTGCCTTAAAAAAAAAAAAAAAAAAGTTGTATAAATGAATAAAATGTAAATACATTTTAACTGGATCTTTTTTGCAATCAACATATTGTTGATGAACAAAAGAGAAAAAAAATAACTTTAGTAAAGCACAGAAATTCAAAATGGTCCCACTTCCCCTCACCTAGTCAAGAATGGAGACGGGGAAGTTGGACACACAAAATGAAAATGTTGGCTTTTTAAGTGAATGTCTTTGTTAATTTATGTGTACAATATTATATTTATTTTTTTTATATATACAGTATATAAAGGTTTTTTTTTCTTTTTAAATTGAGTACATGCATAAAATGCATTAAAATATACAGTATGTACAATCAAATACTTTTTTTTTTTTTTTGTGGTTAGAGTTGAGAATGATTAAGATACCTTTGAGTTTTTTTCTTTCTTTCTGTGTCCCATTGGGTAGAGTTTTTTCTTCATACCATATGCCAAAGGCATGACCGGAGGTAAAAGAAAATATTGACTAAGTTAGGAGGAATCCTTCAATAAAAAGTTGGCACCAGAACAAGTGTTCCCAGTATGAAGATTTTAGCTCTATTCCTGTTCAGTTGACAACTGTAAAATTGTAAAGTTATGGAGTTCCCATCACTTTCTGTGCTGGTGACAATGGTCTGCATAACATACAGAGAGTGAATCTTTCCTTAGTAGACACAGAGAGCAATAAAAACCTTACAAAGGATTTTAACCTTCCACACTGATCTGCAACTAAATTAGTTTTGGCTTTACCTACACTTCAAATAAGCTATTCTTTCCTAGTTGTCTACTCACTGTAAATTTTGTGGATATTTCTGTTTTTGGTTTGGCTGTACTTGGGCTTTAAAGAAATACAAGGGCTAAACTGGAGCTTTAAAAACTTTGTTGGTCTAGGTTTTGTTGATTTTCAGAAGGACGAAACTGAAAGTGTAGGGGTAAAAACAAGAAAGCGAAAGATCAATCACTTAGGTCAAATGTTATTTGTTAACCTTTGTCATAAGATAACCGTTTAGAGCTATCCTATATCACCCAGGATTTTTTTAAAAAACAAAAATCCCTGAAATCCATCCAAGAAAGTGGCGGATACATGTATAAACTGTTTGACTTTGAGTAAACTGTTTAAAATTGTCAGAAGTGCAGTACATTACTACATACTTAAAGTGATTCTAAAGGTTGATTTTTTTTTTTTTTTTTTGTTAACAAATAACAAACATGTTATATTTACCTGCTAACCAGTGGTTTTGCACAGAGCAGTCCCATTCCTCTTCTTTTTGAGTCCCTCCTGGCTACTCCCCCCCCCTGCCGAGTGCCCCCAATAGCAAGCTTTTTGCTATGGAAGCATTGAGTAGGCTCGCTCCCGAGATGCGCTCCTGTGAATAAACATTGTCCATTCACACGCAGACCCTGGTTCAGTCCTGCCCCCTCCCTCCTCATTGGCTTACTGGCAGGAGCCAGTGGATCTCACGGTTTTGTGAGCCAATGAGAAGAGAGAGAACCGGCTCTCATGTACATTGTGGATCGATATAAGACTCGGGTAAGTATAAGGGGGCCCTGAGGAGTGACCTGTACCCATATAAAATTCATGAAAAACCTTCTGCCTTTAGGATCACTTCAAATACAAGAATTTTAAGCAGTTTACAGCATTCAGTTTTTCACCATTTGTAGTTAACATTTAAAGTGATTTTTTTTTTTTTTTTCAGATAAGATAAACATGTTATACTTGCCCTCTGCGCAATTGTATTGCAAAAAGGGGCCCCGATCCTTCTCTTTTGGGGTCTACCTCCCACACTCTGGGCTTCTCCTCTTCTGTGACTGCCCCTATAGCAAGCCACATGAAGATGTGCTACTCAAAATATACCTTATCAAAAATCAGGCTAAATATAGAAATAAACGCCGCACAAAGCACTAAATGCAATCATAGGTGAAAATAACAAACGTGTTATACTTACAAACGTGTAAATAACACAAATGTGTAAATAATTATGCAATAATAAATAATAAACCAATAGATATTGATATAATAGTGAATTAATTCAGTGTTTAACCGCCTCCCGCCCACCATATAAGGTAATGACGGGCGCAAGGCGGTTCTCTCGTTCTGGGAGGACGTCAGCGTTTCACCGATCAAAGGAAAGAGCCGAAGATGTCAGCTCGGTCATGTGATCAGCTGTGTCCAATCACAGCTGATCACATGTAAATAGGGAAATGCCGGTTATCGGCATTTCTCTCCTCACGAGCTGTCACCATGACAGAGGAGAGGAGAGACGGTATTCGGCATTCCTCGGAGGGGACATGTGCACTGGTCATCAGTGTAGCCCCAGCAGCAGTGCCACCTGCCAGTGCCTCATCAATGCCACATATCCGTGCCTACCAGTGCACATCAATGCCACATATCAGTGCCCATCTGAGCTGCCTTTCAGCGCCAGTCAGTGCCACCTATCAGTGCCAGTCAATGCCGCCTATCGGTGCCACCTATCAGTGCCGCCTATCAGTGCCATATATGAGTGCTGCCTTTCAGTGCCCATCAGTGATGCCTGTCCATGCCCATCAGTGCCACCTACTAGTGCCTCCTCATCAGCGCCACCTATCAGTGCCCATCAGTGCAGCCTATCAGTGCCCATCACTGCAGCCTCATTACCGCACATCAGTGAGAAAAATCACTTACTTACAAAATGTTAAAACAAAAACTATGAAAAAAAAACTTTTTTTTTCAACATTTTTCAGTTTTTGGTTTGTTTAGCAAAAAATAAAAAACCCAGAGGTGATGAAATACCACCAAAAGAAAGCTCTATCTGTTTCAAAAAAATTTAAAAATTTCATATGGGTACAGTGTTGCATGATTGTGCAATTGTCATTCAAAGTGCAACAGCTCTGACAGCTGAAAACCTGGCCTAAGGCAGGAAGGGGGTATAAGTGCCCTGTAGGCTAGTGGTTAAGTAAACTGCAAAAAAGTGACCAATCAATCATATGTGAAATCATATATCAAGTGAAAATTCCCAATCGGTGCATAAATCTTCAGTAAACTGTGAATCAACCAGTGATCACTGATAAAATGAACAGGGTCTCTTTAACCACATGCCGCCCAGCCACCGCATATAAACGGTGGCAGGGCGGCGCTCGTAGGCAAAAGCACGTTTTAAAACGTGTGCCTACAAAACAGGCAGGGGGCGCGCGAGCGAGGCACGCGCCCGCCCTAACTGTCCCGCGGGTGTCAGCAGCGGGTCCCCGCCGCCGGGTCACGGCTGGTTTTTACCGGCGGTTTTTCCCGCGATGAGCGGTGAACACTGAAACAGAGCAGGGCTGCATTGTTTACACACAGCCTGCTCTGTGACAGTTCGCCGCCAAGCTGCAGAGGGAGAATACAGTTTCTCTCCCTCGATCAGCTCCCCCCTCCCTCCCCCCGTTCAGTACACACCCCCCCCGCCCCTTAGTAAAACACTCCCCTCACACAGTGAACACTAAAAATGTTAACCCCTTCCTCCCCAGTGACATTAGTACAGTTTCAGTGTTTTTTTTTTCACTGATCACTGTATTGGTGTCACTGGGGATGTCAGTGACCCCAAGTCAGCTCCCCCCCAGTGTCAAAATGTCCGCCTCAGTCCCGCAGTCCCGCCATAAGTCGCTGGTCGCCGTCATATGTCGCTGATTGCCGCTATATGTCGCTGATCGGCGCCATTATTAGTATAAATAAAAATTAAAAATCCCAGTATCTTTCCCGCCATTTGTAAGCGCTATAACTTTCACGTAAACCAATTAATTTACACGTTTTGGTTTTTTTTTTAGCAAAGACATGTCGCAGAATGCATTTTGGCAGAAATTTATGACTAAATTTGATTTTTGCATTTTTTTTTTCTGGACATGTTTTATAGCAAAAAGTCCAAAATATTGTTTTCTTTTTCCTCAAAATTGTCAGCCTTTTTTTTTATAGCGCAAAAAATAAAAACCGCACAGGCGATCAAATACCACCGAAAGAAAGCTCAATTTGTGGGGGAAAAAAGGATGTAAATTTCATTTATGTACCGTATTGCATGACCGCGCAATTGTCCGTTAAACTAGCGCAGCGCTGTATAGCAGAAAAATGGCGTAAATTGCAGTATTTATACCATAGGTTTGTAGACGCTATAACTTCACACAAAGCAATCAATATACACTTATTGAGATTTTTTTTACCAAAAACATGTAGCAGAATACATTTTGGCCTAAATTATAACCAACTTTGAGTTTACTAAATATTTTTTATAGCTGAAAGTAAAAAATACTGTTTTTCTTCAAAATTTTTGGCCTTTTTTTGTTTATAGCGTGAAAAATAAAAAGCGCACAGGTGATCAAATACCACCGAAAGAAAGCTCTATTTGTGTGAAAAAAAGGACGTAAATTTCGTTTGGGTGCAGCATTGCATAACTGCGCAATTATCAGTTAAATTAGTGCAGCGCCGAGTAGCAAAAAGAAGCCTGGTCATTAAGGGGGGTAAATCCTCTGGAGCTCAAGTGGTTAAGACTCAAAATATTGGATAACTTCTTTAATTCTTTGAAGCGGTATTAAACCCAAAACCAAAAATGTATTGTACTGCTGCTTACCCTCATTAGGTGCTGCATTATTTTTCTTTTTTTTCCCCTCTATTTTCACCTGTTGACCTGGCCAGTAACACACTTCCTGTATTACTGAGACACCGATTTGGAGTGGAATGAGCCACGACATAGCAGGCAGCGGCATTGTCAGTCTGGGGGGGGGGGAGGGGGGGGGTTGAGAGTGTTATAGGTAGTAGCAGATTTGAATATTGAATAATAAATCGAAGCCAAACTCAAGCACACACTTTATAACAAAAGGAAATAAACGTTTGCTGTAACTGATTATAAAGGTTTTACATTAATAAACAAAAGCTGATCATTTCACCCTGCCAGTGGTAAATGAATGGTCTCATTCATGTAAGCTGATAAATATTGCTAGAGCTTGAACTTCTGAAAAACAGCAAAGATGCTGGCTGTATCATCAGATGAAAATAGAAAAAAGTCAAAATAGGAAGCTAATGCAGCCATCATATCTAAGAATTGGTAAGCTGCAATATGATAAATGTTTGCTTTTGGGTTTATTACTGCTTTAACAACTTTCTATCCTTAAACTATTTGTAAACTGCCTAAGGTTTAAGCGTTTTAGTGGGATCATGGTTGAGGCTACAACCATGATCCTGGTATTGTTTTTACAGCAGATGATTCATGGCCAGATAAAAAATGATCCAAGCGGCTATATATCCACTGGATCGCTTTTATGGGTGGCAGAAGGTGGTACCCTCCCCCTTCCATCGATGCATGTACCAAGCTCTCCCATATGATCAGGAAGCCCAGTGTTGATGCAACCGGTGGCATCAGCTTTCCCAGACATAGTGAAGAGGAACTGATGATGTTCCTCCTACTGTGGGATGTCAGAAAACGGAAGTGACAAGGGTTTTATCACTTCCAGTTTTGGTCTCATGTAAACAAGCCATTACTGGTTTGTGAAAACATCTGATCAAACCGATCTTGGTTTGATCAGATGCTTTGGAGACCAAAGGAGAGATCTGGGGTCTAATAGGCCCCAGATCTCTCCAAAAAGCATGGGCTGTGACAGATCCTCTATCACAAGAGATGTTGCTCATCTATCAATAGAGTTGATTCAAAAGGAAAATAAATAAAAGTGCAGTGTAAAAAAAAAAAAAAAAAAAAAAATTGCGCCCCTCCCCCCATGCGTAAGTGCAATTGCGAACTCGCATGTATGCCACTCACTCCTATGTAAATAGTGATCCCAGTACACATGTGATATATTGCTGCGAACATCCTAGCAAGAGCAATAATTCTAGATCACCTGAGTAAATCTAAACTGGTAACCTGAAAAGTGTTGCCTGTGGAGAATTTTAGGTGCCATAGTTTGATGTTTTTCCATGAGCAATTGCAGTTTTAATGCGTAATATGTTAGGTATCCATTTACTTAGCGTAACATCAATCTTTATGTTTTACCAAACATTGGCTATTATATTGTGTTTTGTGTTCACTAAAACGTTTTGCATAAAATTTGCATTTAATAAACCGCTGTGCAAATATTGTGCCACATAAACATGTCAACACCCCCCCCCCCCCATTTTATTCTCTAGGGTCTCTGATTACAACATATATAATGTTTGGGGGTTCAAAGTAATTTTCTAGCAAAAAAATACTGATTTTGCATGCATGATTAATTGGCCTGGACTGGACATGGTAAAGTGTCAATATTGTTTTAAATGCCAAAGACCATGAGCAACCAATTTATTTGTAAGCTTCTGCAGCATAGGCAGTGCCCTTGAACTAGAAAGTTAGTCGTTGGGACTAGGTGTGGCCAGGTTGCTGATTGACAAGCTATAGGCTTATGAATCATCAGTGAGGCTTGCTATAAGCTAAAAAAAAAAAAAAAGACATAAAAACTTGGAATGAAAAATGCTCATAATAGTGTTTTTGTGTGCTAGATTTTAACAGCAGTTAGAAGCATTTAGATTTTTTTCTGCTGGCAAATCGCTCCCAAAATTGTAAAAAAAAAAAAAAAAAAAAAAGTTTTTTTCTTTTTCTGCTCCTAGAACCTGAAGCTTTAAAAATACTTCTAGATTAACCACTTCAATATCAGGCACTTTTACCCCCTTCCTGCCCATGCCAATTTTCAGCTTTCCGTGTTGTCGCACTTTGAATGACAATTGTGTGGTCAAGCAATACTGTACACATAAAAAATTTGCATCATATTTTTTTCACACAAATAGAGTTTTTTTTCTTTTGGTGGTATTTAATCAACACCGAGTTTTTTATTTTTTGCTAAACAAAAAACCCCCAAAACTTTTTGAAACAAATCCACTTTTTTCTTTGTTTCTGTTAGGTTATTTATTTGCAAAATGTAATTTCTTCATAAATTTAGGTCAAAATGTATTCTGCTACATTTATTTAAATAAAATACACTATTTTGGGGTATTTTCACCAGTCTGTAGGAAAGTTATGGAGCCCACAAACCATGGTGTATATATATCTGATAATCGATCAATCCTGATCCACTGACTGCTAATCTCAATTCCTGAGGCCCGAAATCGCCAGGATAGTACCAATACCTCCAAAATGACCCATTTTTGGAAAATACAGTCCAAGGTATTTAGTAAAAGGCATTGTGAGTTTGTAATACATTTTAATTTTTTGTTACAATTTTTTGAAAAATGAAGAAATAAAAACAAAAAAAAAAATTTTTTGTTTAACATATTGTCACCAGTTCAGTACATCACTATTATATAACTGGTGTGGTGGAGATCATGGACACTGACTGGTGACAGTATGTAAAACCAGAATAAATACCGTTAAATAAAATGAAGAATAATTTTTTTATTCAATTTGTTTTTTATTTTTCTCTCTTTTTTTAACATTGTACTACTCTCGGTAAGTGATCAGGATTTTTTTTTTTACAGATTGCTAATACCAATGTATTTAATTGATTTTAGCAACCATTGCTACTGAATTAAACTGATTCATTCAGTCTATTGTTGTGATTAACTGTGATTGGGCAAAGCTCATCACATGATACATGATGGGCTGTGATTGACCCTGTCTGTACCATGTGACTGCTTTGACCAATCA